GATCACTGTATTAGTGTCACTGGCAATGTCAGTGTCAGTCAGTTAGTGTAACTCCCAGCCAGGGTCTGTTAGCACCAGATTGTCCACCGCAGTTTCACATTTCCAATATAAGTCGCAGATCACCACCATTACCAGTATAGCATCTATAGCTGCCTAAATTCCAGTATATATAACATAGTTTGTAAATGCTATAACTTTCACACAAAACAATTAATATACACTTAATGGGATTTTGTATTTACCAAAGACATGTGGAAGAATACATTTTAGCCTAAATGTATGAAGAAATTTTATTTTATGATTTTTTTTACTGGATATGTTTTATAAAAGTGTGTTTTTTTCCAAAATGTTCAGTCTTTTTTCATTTATATAATTAAAAATAAAATAAAAACAGTGGTGATCAAATACCACCAAAAGAAAGCTGTATTTGTGTGAAAAAAAAAATTAAATAAAATTCATTTGGGTACAGTGTTGCATGACTGAGTAATCGGCAGTTAAAGTAGTACGGTACTGAATAACGAAAAATGTCTTGGTTATGAAGGGGGAAAAACCCCCTAAAAGTGGTTAAAGTGGAAGTATAGGTAAAATAAAAAATGTTGTATTTAATGCAATCTATAGCATTAACACTGGCTGGTTCAGTATGTAAAAATAAAAAAACTTTGAAAAAAAAACAAATTTATAATAGCGTTTTCTCATATCTGACTGCAAAGGTGGGATTACACTTTAAATTTGATCCAGACAAGTATGGAATAGAAACATTAGTAAATATAGTGGTTTATTTTGTTATAGAAAAACATTCAATTTATGTGGCAGACTTAGTATCAGCCACTTGTAACCCCTTGTATGGTATGGTATGATTCTGACTAGGAGTAGGGGGAACTAAACACGCATGCTGAAAAGGAACATGCTGGCACGGGGAACGGGGGAGCTGAGTAGTGACCTCATTAGTCTGCTCTTTCTCCTTAACAGACCAATCACATGCTTGGAACAGGAAGGTTTCCAGGCTGCTTGGCTTAACTACAGTGGATGAAAATCTAGTCAACAACCATGTTTGCTGCTTAACAGGACTGTTTAACTCTCAGGACTAGATGGAAAAAAATACAATTCATTTGGCCGACAAATTAGCTCTCAAAAATTAACTGTGCATTTAGCTCTATGCGTGGACTTCAGCTTCAATCAGCCATAGGGAAATAATTGAAAACATCAGTTACAGAGCAGTCTATATATGAATCTGGAATCCATGTATAATAATGTTCTTATCTGTAATGCAAGTTTCTATTTTATTTCTATGAGATGGCGACCCAAGGATTTGAAGTATGAAAACTGTCAGGCCTGAATAGAATCCACTTTATAAATTAAACATGGTTACCATAATTGGGTATCAAAGTCTTTAGATATGTCCTTCCATTAAAAAATAAAATCAGTAGAACTGTAAATTATTTTAATTCTTTATTACTTGTAGTGTGTGTGTGTGGTGGTGGTGGTGGGGGGAGGGGGGGGGGTAATAATAATTTTAATTCTTTGGTACTTGCAGTGTGTGTGTGGTGTTGGGGGTCGGACTAATATGTATAAAAACATAAAAACTTCAGTGCCAGTCACTGCTGCCTATTAGTGTCCATCAGTGCCAGTCAGTGCCCATCAGTGCCACCTATCAGTGCCACATATCAGAGTACATCAGTGCTGCCTTTCAGTGCCCATCAGTGATGCCTGTCAATGCTCATCAGTGCCGCCTATCAGTGCCTCCTCATCAGTGCAGTCTCTCAGTACACATCAGTGCCAATCAGTGCCTCCTATCACTGCCCATCAGTGCCCAGCATTTCCGCATATCAGTGCCACCTATCAGTGCTCATCAGTGCCACATATCAGTTTCCATCAGTGCTGCCTCTCAGTGTCCATAAATGATGCCTGTCAGTACCCATCAGTGCCGCCTATCAGTGCCTCCTCATCAGTGCTGCCTATCAGTGCCATCTATCAGTGCCTATCAGTGTAGCCTCATCTGCACACATCAGTGAAAGAGAAAATGTGCTTATTTACAAAATTGTATAACAAAAACTAGGGAAAACTTTTCTTTTTTCAACTTTTCAGTCTTTTTTTCCCAATTCACCCAGCAGTGATTAAATACCACCAAAAGAAAGCTCTCTCTGTCTCAAAAAAAAGATAAATATTTAGTTTGTGTACAGTGTTGCAATTGTCATTCAAAGTGTGACAGCACTGAAAGCTGAAAATTTGCCTGGGCAGGAAGGAGGTAAAAGTATCCAGTAGGTAAGTGGTTAAACAATCTGCCCCTTTGTAAACTATGATTTGGAAGAATTTTGAAAGAGAAAACCTGTCCCCACCCTTTCTATCTCCTTATTGCTCTTTTAATGTCATGGGCACCCTAAATGAACAATAGAGAGGATAGTGGGGGGAGAACAAGGCCAGGTCAAGACAAAACTGGTAACATAGCTTGAGCTACTGACCTTTTGAAATGCTATTATTAATTAACCTGTTCACTTTTAAATATTTTTTTCAATAGTTGCTTAATACGAAGTGCTCAGGTTTGCAACAGGTCTACTTTAAATAGAAAAAAGTATCATATCGTAATCAAAGTAATAATATTTTCTCAGCAAATGCTGTCTTCCAATTCACCTTGCCAAACAAAATTATGTAAATGTTTTCAAAGGCACTCACTAAAGTGTACATAAACTTTTATCTCTTTTCTCTGTGTTTTGCTATAGGCAATAAACTGCTTTTGGCTGTTATTCAATTGTTTCCATTAAAAAAACTAAACTCGCCTGCATTTTATATCATGGAATTACATGATCACTTAAAGTCCTATTTATAAAAAGAAAAGGTGGCAAATTCAAGCATATTCGATTCAGGTATATTAGCAATTTTTTTTTGCTTAGGTCATCAGCCATTTTGACAGCAATTTATACAGCTGCCAAAACAAGGTCAGCAAATACAAAGAATAGTGATTGGGGTCATTAAAAAGAAAAATTAAGTGTAAATGTTACAGAAAAATTAGGAATAGATAGTAAATAAGCTGGAGTGGAAGCACTCCCAGTTTCTCGTCTGTCCCTCCCCCTTCAAGTCTACCAAGAAAGGATTGGGAAGAGTGTAAGGACTACCACAATACCATCACAACACTGAGAAAAACCATGAGTTATTGCTTATGAAGTTTATTGAGGAACAATAGTATTTCATTGAATTGGATTCCATAATGAGGATATAAGCAGTACAGTACACTTAAAATATACACCATAAATGAGGATTTTGCTGCAATGTAGTGACCATTAAGGCCATTTTTGTTTCTTATAGGATAGGAGAAAATGTCCTCTATAATATTGGTGGTCAGTGTAATGCCCTCTTACAGATGGCTTAGAGTCAGTAGTTACTAACCACTGGTTCGGCCAAGCTTTATCCATGCCAGTGCTGCAACTCAATCAATCCACCTTAACTTTGGGTGTGCGGATATTAGCAGTTGATAGTTTTCTATGCAAAGCACTGTAAACCACACTGTAATAGAGCATAAAATATCATCCATCCCATGCTTGGGCTCTAGGGGACTTTACAGGGAAAAGAGGATTGATTTGAAGACTAATACAGGTACCTACTGTCACCACAATCTGACTCCACCTTAAGACCTTAGAAACACATTAGGATTATATAAGGGGAGGTTTACTGTGAAAGCGATCAGTCTCATAACTGGGATATTTTACACCAGGGTCAGACCCACTGCAAATGTATTTGTATTAATCATGAAATTATACAAATAACAATACTGGTCAGCAGAGAAGCCAATGCTTTGATTATTGGCCCTGACCACCAATGTAAAAGGCATTCTTCCTCCTGTTTACCAATATTACCTTCCATTGACTTAACTTTGGATATAGGATTGTGTATATGGTTTTCTATTTATTTTTTAATATTGGTTGAACTAGATGGATTTTGTTTTTTCAACCTGACTAACTATGCAACTATGTAATGTAGGAGGAGCAATGCTCTTTACATTGGCATCAGTTCTTAAAAACAGTTGTAAGGATGCCACTTACATAGGTGTTCATCCTTCCCCTTGACCATCAATGGGGCATTCTTCCTACTGATCACCAATGGAAAAGACATTCAAATTTCTGCTTACATCAAGGGTCATTGAGATTGACCCTAACATTGTTGGCCAGTAGGAAGATTTTCCCTTACATTAGTAGCTGATGGGAAGAATTCTGTTGATCACCCCCCAATGTAAGGATCAATTTTCCCACAGTATGCCAATGTTGGGGAAATTCTTCCACCCACTGCCTATCAATGTAAAGGATTTTCAGAATTTTCCTTCTATTGATGATCAGTAAAAAATGAATTCCCTCTTACATTGGTGGCCAGTAGGAAAATGTCCCTTTGGTCCATGTCACATTAGCAATTTGTCAAAGAAAAATACTGGCAAAAATGCCACACTAAAAACAACTCAGTTTCCTCCAAAACTATGCAGGTTTAGTTAGCAGAATATCACTCCACCCAAAGGTGAATGCAGTTAGATGGCACCTTGTCAGTAACTATAACTAGTGCAGAGCACACCCACCACCTGACACTAGATACATTGTTGCCAATAACATCAGAAAACATAAAAGAAAAATACAATTTTCTAAGGTTTAAGTTTATTCTTCAAACTGAATTAGAGTTGCTTTATGTCTCATTTGAGAAACAACTATTATGCATACTTAGGGTAAAGGTCATCATAATAATTCATTTTTGTTTATCTGTGGTTTCCATTGTGTTACCACCAACTTTTTATTTTCACTTTTGACATGGAAAGTTGCATTGTTGATGTGCAGTGTTAAGCATTGTAAAATGCAACCACTTTCTAGGCAACAAAACATGCAAATTTGGCAAAAACATTCACGACTCCTTGAGGCAAAGTAATAGACGATATGGAAAGAATAGTAATGATAGATAGCAATGATAGATAGATTGAATAATAAAATTAAAAGCCAGAGTTTGAGTGGAATAAACTATCGACAACACTCTTAACCCCCCTGGCGGTATTCCCGGGTGTAGCTCGGGGTTAACTTTCAGTACCAGAAGTGGTAACCCCGAGCTACATTGGGGATTACACTGCAGCGTTGCTCAGGGATCCCTCGAGCACTTACCTTGTCCTGCGCTCCCGCGATGTCCCTCCTGCAGGGTCCCCTGTAATGTCCTCCAGCTGATGTTGGTATCCGGGTTCCATTCCCTGCGAGCGTCGGGACGTATGGGGACGGAACCGGAGGGAAATTTAAAAATGTGACATTCACTCAATACACTAAAATCTGATAGTATTACATTACTGTATCAAACCATTTCACATACATTTTGTCCCTAGTGATTTGTCCTGTGCCCTGCCTGCATTTTTACTGTTCTTTCTGCCAGGAAACTGAGAAACGTCCATGGTGTCCAAAAAGCGTCTCTTTAGGTCAAAAGCGGTTTTAGACCAGTGATAGTAAATTAGAACCACTTGCAGAATTGAGTGATAATTTTTTGGGGGGGGAAATTTGTCATCAGAGACTGAAAACAATTCTGCGACTGAGCTCAGCGATGTTATATTTCAAAATTTCAGTGTTTTTTTGGTTTGATTATATTATTGAATTAAATTTATTATTATTATTATATTATTATTTTTTATGATTATTTATTATATTATAATTTAGGATTTCGTGTTTCAAATTTTATCATACCCGGGATGTTTACTAGACTCTTGTTCCGATAGATTTCAGTGAGTTATTCCTAAGAATTGCAGGCCTACAATAAAAAAAAACAACATATTTCCATGCAAAAAATGTACTGCTTCGAGCACAGAAATATTGACATAATCAGACCGCCAGGGAGGTTAATGAAACAAATGGCGCAAAATCTGATAATATTGTATATTTTATTGGATTGTTTTTATCTTTGACAAAATATATTGAAACAGGTGTAGAATACTGCCATAACAACATTATGAAATGGTTGGAAGCCATATTTAAAAAAAAAAAACAAAAAAAACACGGTAGTTCATTGACCATTTTTTTTTAATAAACAACCCCTTTTACCTTGTATGTACCATAATTATGTATCTCTGCTGAATGTGTTCTGTGTGTCTTTTTATCCTCATCTTTGCCTTAAAATGTAGCAAACTCATAATGCTTACAACTGGCTAGAAAAAAAAAAAAGCACAAGACGCAAATAATTTGAAGAGTAAAGACTTTCTGTGCTATTTCCAGTTCAATTATGCTGTTTTGTTTGCTTTTGTGCATGTGTATCTTCCTGTTATCAGTACTGGTGTCTTGCTTTAGTACAAAAAAAAAAAAAAACAGAACAGATCTTTCTATGTCTGAAATGATATTGAATTTACAGTCATGGGAGCCCTCATGTGGTCAGAGAATAGAAATAGTTTTTTGAAGTTAAAGTAAGGCCATTTGTTGGCTAGCATAATTCTAAAATGCGATAACCTTTAAATCTAACCTCAGAATTTATCTTGCACTGGCCTGACTTCATTAAAGTGAATTCTAATCAGTTCTGTTCTGACAAAATAGCACGTTAAAAGCTTTTCGTTCAGGATGTAATGCTGAATTTGGAAAAAAAAAAGTATACAAAACAACAACGCTATTTTACTGACACACCAGAGTGCTATTAACTGCTGTAATTTTTAAATGTATAGATATGGATCAGAATATATACTAAATATATTGTATATGTAAATGAAAAATGTATATGTAATCCTATTCTATCATTTGTTTGTAATTTAAATATTTCTATCTGTACTGCAACTCTTGAGATCCTTTAGTGCACAACCTCTGATGCAGAACTAGGCCGCAACAACAAAGTCTGTTTTTCCAGTGTAGATAGTGGATCTGCACAGCATAATTTATTGGTGTAGCATATATCTATCTATACCTAAAGTCTATTGGGCATTCCAGACATGTGACCAGATTTATTGAGTTTGAAGATCTGAAAGGAAATATGCTCTATATTCTATGGTATTACTATTGATATCCCATGAATGATATAGAATTGTGTGCAGGTGTTGCAAGGCAGGTCATTACCAATTTGTGATAGGGCCCCTTTAAGAGCAAATCTATGAAAGCCAACCCCCCCTCCCTAATCTTCATCTTGAAGGCAGTTACTCTGGTAATACAATATACTCATTGTTTTCAATAAAATAGTTTAAAGGTTACCAAGTCTAAAATATATTAATTTTACCTAAATGTGTTTACCAAATGCAATTGCTAACTATAAAAATCATTGTAGCCAGACAATTTGGCCCCCCCATTCTTTTGGAGCCCATAGTAGTTGCATGGTCTGCTATGTCTACAGCTAAGCCCTGCATGCAGTCAATAGTTTATTCTGCTACATGCTGCTTAGTGAAATTCTCATTAGATTTTTTAGATATTTAGATGAGCATATTAAAGTGGTTCTAAAGACTAAAGTATTTTACCCTAATGCAATTTATTAAAAAAAAAATATTTTGTGCCAAAGGAATCCCCCCACTGCCTTTATACATACCTGAGCCCGATCTTGATTCACCGCTGTGCCCAATAGCAGCAGCTCTCTCCACTCTCACTCTCCTCACTGGGCCAATGGCTCCAATTGCTGCAAATCAAATTCTGTGATGAGGGAGTAGGGGGCATGGCTGAACCACCCTGTCTGTGTTTATAGATGCAGACAGTTCAGTGCAGGAGTGAGCTTGCATTAGTGACCCCATAGGAAGCCACTTTTTATGGAGGCACTTGCTGAAGAGGAGGAGCCAGGAGCACCAGCGGGGGACAAAGGAGGATCGGGGCTGCTCTGTTCAATAGCAGTGCACAAAGCAGGTACTGTAAGTATGCCATGTTTATTAGACATGTGCACACCAGAAATGTTTGTTTCATTTTGGATGCATTCATTCATTGAAGAATTTTGTTTCATCATATTCGTTATATTTGAGCCAGTTTGTGTTTGGAATTTGTTTCATATCTTCAGCATTTGTTTTGTATATTCCTTGGTCCTTGTTGATTTAAAAACATTTTTTAGTTTTTCCTGAATTTCGTCGCATCATGTGACGTCATCCAAATGAAACAAATGCATTTGTTATTTTGGTTATAATTATTTTTTTTCAGATTCATTGACATTCATTACTATTATGTCCATTCAGAGATTCATTAACATCCAAATCTCTAAAATCTAATTTTCGCCCAAGAAACAAATCAGAACGAAATGAAACACACGTCTAATGTTTATTATTTTAATTAAAAAGATACTATCACTTTAAGGAGAGGGTTCAGGGGATAATTCTTCCAATCTACCAAACTTTTGAGGGTGCTATAATTCCTATGTAATTTTTTGTGCGCCCTTCAATTATGGGTTGTCTGTAAAAAAGGGTTTGAATCAATTATCTTGTTGCACATATTGGTTTCTGTGGATATTGATTGTTATCTTGATTTCAGCACCAGTTAGTGAGATTCTGTAGGCTTATTTTATTAATGCTTTCTTTAGATACTTTATGTGGTTGGTTTCAATTGGACCACAAGGGTTTTATCATAGTTGAATCAGTCATGGAATAGGAAGCAACTTTCGCCTTAGACATGGTGTTAGAATGAAGGCAGGAAATATTAGGATGAAAGCAGAATTTTTACTTGTTTTCATTCTTTGAAATTTTGTACTAATTGCAGAATCTTTTATCACTTTTCTTCACATTGTGGTGAAAGTGAAACACTTAGTAAAAAAATACAGTCTTTGTGTTTTTCATATATTGGATCATATCCCTAAATCCTAAGGATGATTTTGCATGCACTGCATGCCCATTTTGCACACCATCTTTCTGGCCTCTATTACTGGTCTACACCCAGCATTGCTGTAGGTTAAAGGCAATCTATCATAGTGGTGATCCAATAGTAAAGAGGGAAAAGTGGGGAGAGCAGTCTACTGCATTTGATCAGGAAGTTAGCCTCTCTTACCGTGCTAAATCACCTATAGTTTTAAAGGAAACTGGTAAATCTCTTACCAGCAATTATTCCCATTAGAAAGCGGCCAAACATGACCACCATTTTTAGGATGTAAGGACGGCACCAAATTGGGATGCTATCTAGGGTTTAGGAATAAAGAATATGCAAGGTAAAAAAAACAGAACCCCAAGAAAATAGCCACACCTCTCAAATAATGCAAAAATAATCATAAATGTTAGAAAAATATGAATTGCATTGTTCCAAACACCAACCAAACACCCTAAAAAAAAAATAACAATTAACACTAAATTCTTATAATATATGCATGGGAGTATCTACACTTTAAATATGAATATCCTCAAGGTATCTTAATTTTGTTAAAACCCTAAAAAGTGAACAATAGTGCAATTACTTATGCCAAACCTGAGTCTGACCCACCAGCAAACCTAGCAAAAACACATAAAAAATTTATGACAAAGTAACAGTTCTAAAGGAGCCAAGAGATACTAAAATAATTCTTACAAAACAGTAAAATTCAGTTATTGTACTATATGCACAGTTAACAATATCAAAACATTTGAAAAGGATGACCGCAAAAGTAAAGACATAACAACTACAAATCAGTAAAATTAAATATGCAGTATATGCACAGACAAGCAATATCAGATCCAAGGATGAGGTTTAGAATCAGGCCAATGTAATATTCGTTGTGAACTTTGAATGTTCAGCATTCAGTGCAGAGGCAGACTAAATAAAGTACAGTAGGAAGTCTTTGCTGGCCAGCAGTTGAAACTAAGGGGCAGAATGCTGACTCTCATGGACATATTTGATCAATGACATCAGCCAGCATTCCCACCCCCTTGTCTACTATCAAGCTGCTTGCTGGGAAAATGTCACCGTAAGTCTCTGTCAGGAGCGAATTGTGTCGATGAGTAGGCATTGTTTTGGTGGGTCAGCAAGCATCGATTATCATGACTATGTGAATGGTTCATATGAACTGTAGGTAATCACACTGAAAAATACATATCCATGGGCAATAAGTTTAAAAGGCTAAAACTAAAACCTATGTGGCTCACGTCCAAAGTTAAAATAACTATAAATAAGAAGAGAGAATTTAAAGAATATAAAAATGATGGAACACTGTCATCATTTAAAAGTTACCAAGAATATAACAGAATATGCAAAAAAGAAAATCAAGGCTGCAAGAATTTAAAAAGAATGTCAGTTTGCCATAAAGAGTAAGACAAACCCCAAAAAATTCTCCAAATATACTAACAGTAAAAATGTCACGTCTGAGCATGTAGGCCTTTTACAAAATAATCTAGAGTGGGTGATTGGGGAAAAAGAGAATGCAAATGTATTGAATACCTTCTTTAGCTCTGTGTATACAAAAGTAGCATAAGGGAGCTCAATTCCTTAATGGGGATAGTATTGACATAACCCCAAATGAACTACTATGGCTCAAAACTGTCACAAACATTTAGACAAAATAAAGGTGAATAAAGCACTTGGACTTGGATGGTCAATGTGGTGTCTATATTTAAAAAAGGATCAAAGTCTTTACTAAGTAACTATAAACCGGTTAGTTTAACTTCTATAGTTAGGAAGATACTTGAGAACTCAATAAAAGGCCACATAGAAGAGTTTTTGCTAGAAAAGAATATTTTAGGCAATAGGCAATAGTCAATATAGATTCATAGCCCATCAATGCTGCCCATCAATGCCCATCAGTGCCTCCTCATCGGTGCAGTCTATCAGTACCCATCAGTGTCACCTATCAGTGCTAACCAGTGCCACCTATCAGTGCCAGTCAGTGCCACATATCAGTGTCTCCATCAGTGCCAGTCAGTGCTACCTATCAGTGCCGATCAGTGCCACCTATTAGTGTCCATCAGGGCTGTCCATCAGTACCCATCAGTGCCGCCTAGCAGTGCCATCTATCAGTGCTGTCTATCAGTGCTGCCTATCAATGCCCATCAGTGCCACCTATCAGTGCAGCCTCATCAGCACACATCAGTGAAGGAGAAAAATTACTTATTTTCCAAATGTTTTTTTTTCCAAAATGTTTTAATTTTTAGTTTGTTTAGCAAAAAAAACCCAGTGGTGATTAAATACCACCAAAAGAAAGCTCTATTTTTCTACAAAAATGATAAAAATTTAATTTGTGTACAGTGTTGCATGACTGCACAATTGTCATTCAAAGAGCGACAGCACTGAAAGCTGAAAATTGGCCTGGGCAGAAAGGGGGTGAAAGTGTCCAGTAGGCAAGTGGTTAAGCTAGTAAAATGCTTTCTTGTAGCAAAAGAGATATAGACTCCAGAGACAGAGATATCATATTACCCCTGTACAAATCATTAGTAAGACCTCATCTGGGATATGCAGTTCAGTTTTGAGCACCAATTCACAAAAAGAACATTGGGGAACTGGAGAAAGCACAGAGAAGGGCAACTAAACTGATAAGAGGCATGGAGGAGATCAGCTATGAGGAAAGATTAGAGGAACTGAATTTATTCTCTCTTGAGAAGAAATTAGGGGAAATGATCAACAGGTATAAATAGATAAGTGGTCTATATAGTGAACTCGGTGTAGAGTTATTCACTTTCAGGTCATCACAGAGGACAAGGGGCACTCTTTACGTCTGGAAGAAAAGAGATTTAGTCTTCAAATACAGAAAGGCTTCTTCACAGTAAGAGCTGTGAAAATGTGGAATAAACTCCCTTAAGAGCTGGTTCTGGCCAGCTCAATAGATTGTTTTGAAAAAGGCCTGGATGCATTACTAAATGCACACAATATAACCGGATATTATTATTAGAGGTAATACCACCAGGGGAAATTGATCCAGGGAATATCCAATTGCCTCCCGGGGAATCGGAAGGAAATTTTCCCCCAATGGAGTGACTTGGATCAAGCTTTATTCATTTTTTTTTTTGCCTTCCACTGGATCAACTGTGGTATGGAATTCTGTACAGGGGTGGACTGGCAACTCATAGGGCCTCCGGGCAATAGGGGATCATGGGGCCCAAATTCAAAAAAGCCTATGAAACAAGTACCAGGGGCATCTCATGGGGCCCCCTACTAACCCCGGGCCCTCGTTTCCAAATGGTCAGTCCTCCCCTGATTCTGTATATGAAGGTTTTCAATATCTTTTTCTTGGTTGAACTAGATGGCATAGTGTTTTTTTTTCAACCTCGCTAACTATGTAACTTTTTCTTTCTTAACCCCTTCCCACCAACAGTATGCAGATGAGTGGGTCTTTATCCGTGGCTCCACATTAATGCTTACCTCTCTTTGCACTGTGTGGCGCACTGCAAGCACAGATACTAGGCTCTCACCAAGAGCCCTGGGTCTCTTACTAATGATCAGGACCCTGGGACTCCTGGTTCCCTGTCATCTGATGGCTTTGATAGCCTTTGATTTGCTATCACAAGAATCAGTCACTGTATAACCTGCCCATGTGTTTCTTTTCTCTTCTGAATGGAGAGAAAGATACATTGGGGTTAATGTACTATAACTGGAGAGTGCATAGAAACCAGTCAGCTTTCTAAATTAAGCTTTGACAATAAACCTGGAAACTGACTGGTTTCTATGCAGAACTGCACCAGATTTTACACTCTCCAGTTTTAGTAAATACATGTATCTTTTTCTCATTGCAGAGGAGAAAGATTTAAACAAACAAAAGTGTGCAAAAGTTATTAAAAAAAAGATAAGAAATGAAGACAAAAAAATAGCTAGACCAAGGGTTTATCTAAGTCATTGCCAGGGTTAGTGTTAGGATTAAGGTAAGGGTCAGTATATTTTGGGTAGAATAAAAAAAAAACAGGTTTTAAAGTAGTATTAGTATCAGTTAGCGTCAATGTGTTTTACGTAGGATAAAAAGCAAAATGCGCACCTGTGATTCTACGCCATACTACAGGTACAAACAACAAATACCATACACATATGTGGTATCGCTGCAATTGTCAGGAGGAGGAGAATATATTTTGGGTTGTCCTTTGGTGGTACGTTTTAATAATGGTGGTAATGGCAAGAAATATACAGTTTTTTTTTTTTTTTACTATTTTGGGCAAGTTTTCCTTTGATAAAAAAAAAGTCAGGAGATATCTGTTACCTTTTACCACCAAAAAGAAAGTCCAATTAGTCCTGAGTAAAACAAGGTATAATCCATACACAAAGTAGTTGCAATGATTTGTACAGTTTTACGTCAACGTTGCACAGTTGTGTTCAGGTATTAACATTTGTTTTACCTTCAGTCACTAAATGGCAAAATAAAGGACTTGTCCAATGTGTCAATGTGTTTATTTATTTTCAAATATTTGGGAGGAATAAATAACCTGAGGGATTATGTACCCCTTGCTTATTCACATAAGGGTGAGGCACCGCATTATAATATAGATTCTCACAACCACCAGGCCAGGATTGTGTGGAAGAGGCCCTTGTCCTCATTAAAAGAGGGTCAAGTTGCTTTCCCAGGTACCCTCCCAATGTTAAAGGCATGTGGCATGGTATGGTTTGGGGTGGGGGGTTCCCACTCTCTGCCCCTCCTTTCCTGACCACCCAGGCTTCTTTCTGGTATTAGGATCCTGTGTGGATTTTTTTTAAGGGAACCTCATACTTTTTTTCTGTTTTGTGTGGGTTTCCCTCCCAAAGTCTATAGGAGACCCTCATCAAGGATAAGAATCTGGTATGTGTTTTTAGTGAGATCCCCATGCCATTTTTTTTCTTTTGCATGGGGTCCCTTCATTAACATCTATATTCATATTACACTTATCATCTAGGATAAGGGTCTGGTATAAATTATGGGAATTACATTTTCCAGCCACTTTGTTTTGTTTGTAAACAAAACAGCTGGGTAATGTAATTTACCAGTAAGGTAAATGGTATTTTTTTTCTTTGAAGTTTACATCATACAAATGCACCACTTCACAGGTAAGGTTAGGGAATCCCCAAGCAGTTACTGTATTTAATTTCATTTTTCATTTTTTAACATCGCTATTAAGCATTATTTAAGGAGCTTTCCCCTGCAAAAAAATATTTTTAACCATTTTTTTTTTGCTCTTGGTACATGTCCCCAGAGCAGTAGCCAGCCCTCCCTATGCCCTTTTTGTGACAATCTCTTGCCTGTTAGCTTTGAAAATGGGCATAATTGAAGATTTTTAAAGATTTGACTTCAGTGGAGTTCAAATTAATATTCGAAACTTAGGAGCAGTTTGGTGATCCTCCCACAAAAGGAATTTAGGTGCATTTGTTTCATCCTTAATCAAATCATTCAAAAGGGCTGCACTGATGAAGCTGCAAGGTGGGAGCAAAGAAGATGAGTGCTGAACCTGCAAGAGAGCAAGTAGAAGAGGTGACCAAAGTTTACAAGAGCATAAAGTGGATACAATTTCCCAAGAGAACTTGATAAGTGTCAGGATACCTCTTCATACTTACCTTAATGGAACAGCAGCAGCCTGTCAAGATGTTTAGCATTGTATAAAAAAAATACAGTTATTCCTTATATTATCAGAATTATAGCTCACAATGAGTGCCAAGGCTGCATTGTAAGAGGAGGAGTAAAAAGGCCATACTACTACAGTATTGTCAGGACCATACCACCAAAGACAAAATAGTCCTTATACCCCTGCTATTTAATTTACTGAGATTTTGCTGTTATTTGGGACATTTTGTTGAAATTTTGCCATTTTAGCAAATGCATTTGAATCAATGGTCAAAATTAACCTCCCTCGCGGTATTCCCGAGTGTAGCTTGGGGTAAAGTTTCAGTACCACAAGCGGTACACTCGGGTTTACCATGCGGCGCTGCTCCGCGATCCCTCGATCACTTACCTTGCCCTGCACTCCCGCAATGTCCCTCCTGCAGTGTCCCCGGCAATGTAATCCGGCGCGGATGCTGGCAGCTGTCTTCTGGGTTCCGTCCCCTGCGCGCGTTGGGGACGTACGGGGGACGGAACGGCGGGAAATTTGAAAATGACAAAAAGTGACATTCACTAAAATCACTAAAATCACATAGTAAAACATTACTGTATCAAACCATTTCACATACATTTTGTCCTGAGTGCATTGTCCTGTGCCCTGCCTGCATGTTTACTGTTCTTTCCACCTGTAAACTGAGATCAGCGGCCTTTTACCACGTGATCATCTGTGTCCAATAACACAGCAGATCACCTGGTAAATACATTTGCCGGTTATTGGCAGTACTTTAATCACGCTATCACAGAGTGAGGAAAGTACTGCTGATAACTGGCAAATGTCACAAAGGACATCTGCACTGGTCAGCAGGGCACTGATCATCATGTCAGTGCCCAGCAGTCCTGCCCAGCAGTGCCACCACCAGTGCCAAGCAGTGCCACCCAGCAGTGCTCCCCAGTGTCGCCAGTCAGTGCTGTCAGTCAGTGCCCCCAGTCAGCGCTGCCTATCAGTGTCGCCCATCAGTGCTGCCTGTCAGTGTCCATCATTTTTTTCTCATTCAAAAAAAATTCTGAATTGACACACATCCACACAGCTACAACAAAACCATGCAATATAATTATCTTCTAATATAATAATCATAAGTGCCATCTACTGCCCATTTTCCATTTTTTTTCCTGATTGAGGTACTCAAAAGATAAGTTTACCTTTGGGAACTTATTACATGTTCCACCTGTTTTTAGGGTGGAACATGTAACATGTTCCCATAGCTACGACCGCCGCCCGCCACCCCCCCCTTACCTCTGACAGTATGGTGAGAAGCCTCCCTGTACTATCACAGTATGGTGAGAAGCCTCCCTGTCAAATTTTAAACAGCACGGCCGTGCGGTGCTCCACCCACACAGCCACATCATTCATTCATGGACTTCCGTGAATGAATAAACTGCAAGTCTCGACAGCCTTAGTGGCTGTGGGCTTGTAGTTTTCAATGAACTACCACTATGCTGTGGAGTGCCGTGGTAGTTCATTGAAGTTTCCTGTCAGAATATTTGCTTTCTTTTATATCCCAAGAAGATATTCTGACAGGTGTGCAGGAGACCTGCATGGCATCAGCAATCTACTGATCGCTGGTGCAATGCTTTTCAGGCTCCTGTAGACAAAAATAATAAATACACATTTTGCTACCTCCAAAAATAAGTGCATTAATTATTTTTGTCTAGAAAGGTGAACTTATCCTTTTTGCAGCATTATGGCCAGTGGTGTATTTTGGTTTGGTGCTCTAGGCAAGACTAATATCCCCCCCATTTAAATTTGTTGCACGACTTGTAACAAGTGCTAAAGTACATCCTCTGCCCCCCACACACTCACAGCCTGCACTCATGTACACCTTGTACATGCCCCTAGTGCCCATACTCTCATTTAACTTGCCCATATTCACATTTAAATCCCTGGCCCTAAAGTGCCCACACTCACATGCACATTGTACACCTCCCCCCTCCCAGTGCTTACACTCACTTTGTATATCCCACAGTGCCCATTCACAGACATCTTGCACCCCCCACCCCCACTGCTTTTTATATACCTTTTATATACCGTGTACATCCCTGCTTCCCCCTCCAGTGCCCACTCACATACACCTTCTACATCCCCCTTTCTCAGTGCCTATACTAACATACATCTTGTAACCCCCCCCCCCCCAGTGCCTGCACTTCCATGCACCTTGTACACTCCCAGTGCTGACACTCACATATAACTTGTAAAGCTCCTCAGTGTCGACAGTATACCCCCTTGTATACCTTGTATACCCCCACTGCTCACACTCCCATTCAATCCCTTAGTTATGGATGAGGAAGGGGGTGGATTATACAGTGGGAAATGGAGCTGCCAAACCAAGCAGATCACTTTGCGAGGACCCGCAGCGGAGCCGGCCATCCTCAGGGTACTTGACAGTTGACCAGCCCAGGGGAGCCAATGGAGCTGCAGGAAAATCAACTCAAGAGCCTTTGAGCTGCCCTGCTCTGAAGACCACTCTCACCTATGTGTGGCCCCTCTTTGGGGGGGGGGGGGGGGGGGTGGCGATGCCCCTCTGAAAGAAGCCGTCCTAAGCAAATACATTGTTTGCCTTGTAGTAGATACGCCCCTGATTATGTATTTACTACAGTGGCAGATTCCCTTAGGACCAAAAGCTACAATTTACAATCTTTGTACTACACTAGAGTAGGATAGGATTATTGTAAATTCTATTGTACATTTTGATATTCTCTACATTTTCAGTAGATGATCCAAAGACTATAAATATGTAAAAAGTTACAAATCACTTCTAAACATTTTTCTGCTACTTTATTTTTTTCTCTGCGCTCGCCTTTCCTCTTACCCACTTGATTTTTGACTGTAAAGCTCTATTGAATTTTACAGCCCAGACAGTGTTAACAACCAGTGAGACTGAATCCAAATCAGTTGGCGATGATAGATGCACATTATCGTGGGGGGAGTGGGGTGTCATAAGTTTTTACCCTTGAGCAAGCAGTGAGATATAACCAAATTACAAAGCTTATCCTGTGTCTTCCTTCTCTAATGAACCATATTGATTGCTGCTACATTGAATTATATATAACCTTGGCCTTTCCTGTTCCAGCCCTTCACATCTAAATGAAGCGGTCACTCCGATCGGCACTGCCTGCTTAATCCTATTGTAATTATGAGAGAGATGATCAGAAAATCAAGTTACGCAACTCATACGAGGGAATAGAAAAAAATGCCTCTCTCAGGGAGCCATGAACCTCTCTTTGCTTTAATGCACTTATCACTGACATCAAGGAAAAAGTAATTAAAAGTGATAAGATGTAGATCTTTTGGAAAGAAGCAAAAAAAGAGAAATCAATGATGGATCAGCAGTCAGAATACGTACATTCTGTGACCTAGGAATGGCCTTACTCAGAACTGAAATTATATCCACTTTGCTAATTTCTCCTCATCTCATATTTCCATTTATTTGACTGTTTATTTTATTGACTTTCTGCCAAGTAGCAATAAAATAAACAGTAAATGGAACTCAACATTAAAATAAATTGCTATAGGAAACAGATAAATATGCAGTACACTTTCTTTAGTATGCTAAATACTGTTTAGAGCTGCAGTGTTGCAAAAGAAAGGAAATACCTTAAAGTGATATCAAAGGTGCACTTACAAAAAAATATATACAAGCAGGTAAAAAAAGTATTGAACATTGCACCATTTTCTCGGTAAATATACACTATATTGCCAAAAGTATTGGGACACCCCTCCAAATTATTGGATTCAGGTGTTCCAACCACCTCCATGGCCACAGGTGTATAAAATCAAGCACCTAGGCATGCAGACTGCTTCTACAAACATTTGTGAAAGAATGGGCCGCTCTCAGGAGCTCAGTAAATTTAAGTGTGGTACTGTGATAGGTTGCCACCTGTGCAATAAGTCCATCCGTGAAATTTCCTTGCTACTAAATATTCCATAGCCAACTGTTAGTGGTATTATAACAAAGTGGAAGCAACGGGGAAAAACAGCAACTCAGCCACAAAGTGGTAGGCCACGTAAAATGACAGAGCGGGATCAGCCCATGCTGAAGCTCACAGCGTGCAGAAGTTGCCAACTGTCTGCAGTCAATAGCTAAAGACCTCCAAAAGTCCTGTGGCCTTCAGATTAGCACAACAACAGTGCGTAGAGAGCTTCATGGAATTTGTTTCCATGGCCAAGCAGTTGCATTCAAGCCTTACATCACCAACTGCAATGCAAAGCCTTGGATGCAGTGGTATAAAGCACACCGCCACTGGACTCTAGAGCAGTGGAGACGTGTTCTCTGGAATGATGAATCACGCTTCTCTGTCGTGCAATCTGATGGATGTGTCTGGTTTTGGTGGTTGCCAGAAAAATGGTATTGACTAACTGCACTGTGCCAAGTGAAACGTTTGGTGTAGGGGGGATTAACGTGTGAGATTGTTTTTAAGGGGTTGGGCTTGACCCCTTAGTTCCAGTTAAGGGAACTCTTAAGGCGTCAGCATACAAAGACATTTTGGACAATTTCATGCTCCCAAATTTGTGGGAACCATTTGAGGATGGCCCCTTACTGTTCCAACATGACTGCGCACCAGTGCCAAAGCAAGGTTCATAAAGACATGGATGAGCTAGTTTGGGGTGGAGGAACTTGACTGGCCTGCACAGAGTCCTGACCTCAACCTGATAGAACACCTTTAGGATGAATTAGAGTGGAGACTGTGAGCCAGGCCTTCTCGTCTGACATCAGTGCCTGACCTCACAAAAGCGCTTCTGGAAGAATGGTCAAACATTCAAAATAGACACATTCCCAAACCTTGTGGACAGCCTTCCCAGAAACAATGAAGCTGTTATAGCTGCAAACGGTGGACCAACTTAATATTGAACCCTACGGACTAAGACGCCATTGAAGTTCATGTGTGTAAAGGCAGGCATCCCAATACGTTTGGCAATATAGTGTATTTCTAAAGGTGCTACTGACACAAAATTTTCACCACATGTCAGTAATAACCCATGCAATCCATACACACAAAGAAACCAAAACAAATAAATTCAGGAATTAATTTATTTGTAATAAAATGAAATGACACAAGAAAAAAGTATTGAACACGCTGACTGAAATTTATTTGATACAAAATCTTTTGTTGATAATGACAGCTTCAAGACACCTCCTGAATGGAGAAACTAGTTGCATGCATTGCTCAGGTGTGATTTTGGCCAATTCTTCCACACAAACAGTCTTCAAATCTTGAAGGTTCCGTTGGCCTCTTCTATGAACTCTGATCTTTAGTTCTTTCCATAGATTTTCTATTGGATTCAAGTCATGTGATTGACTGGGCCATTCTAGCAGCTTTATTTTCTTTGAAACCAATTGAGAGTTTCCTTGGCTTTGTGTTTGGGATTATTGTCTTGCTGAAATATCCACCCTTGTTTCATCTTCATCATCCTAGTAGATGGCAGCAGACTTTTATCAAGAATGTCTTGGTACATTTTTGCATTCATTATTTAATGATATGAAGTTTGCCCTACACCATGATGTTCCCAC